TGGCCCTTGTCTTAAAAAATATTTGTTTCTGGCCAGGAGGCAGGAGAATTGCCTGAACTCAGGTGGATCACCTGAGGTCAGGAGTTTAAGACCAGCCTAGCCAGCATGGTGAAGATAGCTGTCTCTACTAAAAATAGAAAGATTAGCTGGGCGTGGTGGCATGCACCTGTAGTCCCAGCTATTCAGGAGGGTGAGGCAGGAGAATTGCTTGAGCCTAGGAGGTGGAGCTTGCAGTGAGCCGAGATCGAGCAAGTGCACTCCAGCCTGGGCGACAGAGCGAGACTCTGTCTCAAAAAGGAAAAAAAAAAAAAACCAACACAGTGAATTAGGTGCTGATGAAGTGTCACTGGGTAATCCATGCTGGTAACCGATGGGGCGGGGCTCCCCAGAAACATTCGTTGAGCACCTGCTCTTTCCCTGACCCTGGACCAGGTGCAGAGAATAAAGACATCACAAAACCTGACTAACCAGCAGGGTGAAATGTGGGTCCCCAGGACCCTGAGTATAGTAAGCAGGGGAGACAGCACCAGATGATAGAGCTACAGCCAGGGGGGGTACTGGGCACGGAGGGCTGAGGAGGAAGGGGCACGGCTCTCCCTTGGGGGGAGCCAAATGGTAATTTTCAAAAAGTTACAGACATGACGCTCAACTATAAAATAAACGTGTAAATAATTGCATTCAACTTGATAATTAATGAGGGAGCCAATAAGCTGTGAAGAGCAGTTGAAAACAGAATCTGAAAATCAGCTATATATAGACGCAGTTAGGAATGCTAGGATGAATTTACTAATAGATACCAAGATGGTCAATGTCCTACAGGGCAATAAAATGTAATGTTTACAGTCATCTTGTCTATGGGGTGGACACCAACTGTGTCTCTGTGGGACAAAATCCATTAGCACCGTTATGGACAATAATTATTACCATTTTCTACCACTTAACGCCTCCCCATCAGAGGATTAAAATAGCCTGGTCAGGCCAGGCTCGGTGGCTCACGCCTGCAATCCTAATGCTTTGGGAGGCTGAGGTGGGCAGATCACCTGAGGTCAGGAGTTCAAGACCAGCCTGGCTAACATGGTGACACCTCATCCCTACTAAAAATACAAAAATTAGCCAGGCGTGGTGGTGAGTGCCTATAATCCCAGCTACTCAGGAAGCTGAGGCAGGAGAATTACTTGAACTCAGGAGACGGAGGTTGCAGTGAGCCGAGGTCAAGCCACTGCACTCCAGCCTGGACGACAGAGTGAGATTCCGTCTCAAAAATAAACAAACCAATAAATAAATAAGCCTGGTCAACAGAAAGACAATGAACAGAGTCCTGTGTAAACAGCTAATCCCTGAAACCCCTGGAAAACATGCCCAGAATCTCTCTTTTCCATCTCCGAGTCTTGGACAATTTTTCCTGATGGGGACGACTCCAGTCTGTTCACACATCTGCAGGACTACCTAGGGCGCCTCTAATGTAGCACTCTGGAATCACCCAGGGAGCTTCTAAACATCCTGCTCCCCAAGCCACAACCACACCCATAAAATCAGAGTGTCAATAGGTGGTTCCTTGCTTTAGTATCTTTTTTTTTTTCTTGAGACAGAGTCTCACACCATCACCCAAGCTGGAGTGCAGTGGCACAATCCCAGCTCACTGCAACCTCCACCTCCCAGATTCAAGCGATTCTCCTGCCTCAGCCTCCTGAGTAGCTGGGATTACAGGCGCCTACCACCACACCCAGCTAATTTTTATATTTTTAGTAGAGACAAGGTTCCACCATGTTGGCCAGGCTGGTCTCGAACTCCTGACCTCAAGTGATCCTCCCAAACTGCTGAGATTACAGGTGTGAGCCACCACACCCAGCTGCCTTCAG